ACACACAGAGGGACGTCAACAACGAGGAGGACACACAGAGGGACGTCCATCAGAAGCTCATAACTCACCTCCACATTGGTCTTCTGCAGCTCCGTCAGCTCAGGAAGCTGGACAAACACAAAAGACGTGAGACGGTGGTGTGGCGGGGGCGGGCCCCGGCGCGGCCGCACTCACCTGTTTGAGGACGTGCAGGTAGTCGTAGCAGAAGGCCACGATGTTGGAGGAGATGTCGTCGTCCTCGTGGACCAGCAGCTGCAGCAGCAGTGGCACCTTGGCCTCCACGGCCTGCAGCGTCTCCTCCGCCTCCTTCACCTGTCCTCCCTTCAGGAGCTTGGTCCAGCTCAGGACCAGGCTCTGACCCATCCCGTTCACCAGCCGAGAGAACTTGGCCAGGAAGTCCACGTCCTCCTCCTGGAAGGACGACGTCCAGGAGATGTTTTCAGAACATTGGACAGCGCACGCTGCCGGTCAACCAGCGTTTCCACGGTAACCGCTCTGAACCAACCTGCTCCACGTTGAAGAAGCTGGCGGCCTGCAGCACCCGGCACAGGGACTCCACCAGCTTGGTCTTGTCCACGGGGTCCATGCCCTTGTTGATGATCTCGAAGAGGCAGTCGCAGGCCTCCTCCCGGAGCTCCTCCACGGACATCTGGCCCAGCAGGACGTTCACAAAGCTGAAACACAAACAGAACGTTCTGCAGGCGTTCCTCGCTGAGCGGCGCCGCCTCGCTCTGCCACTGACCGCTCGTTGGCGATGAGGTTCAGGTCGATCCAGGACACGTAGGCCCCCACCACCTCCAGACACTGGCAGGTGAGCTCCGGGTGGGACCGCTGGTAGGCCGTCAGGATCTGGAACCAGGACTCCACCAGACTGGGGATGCACTGCTCCCTCATGGTGTCTTTGATCAGGATGTTCCTGCGCGTCTCCTGGAGGACACGCCAACAACACGCCATGAGCTGAAGCCCCACCCCCTCTGTGCACGTCCATTACCTGCGCTGCGGCTGACCTCAGGCGTGTGTAGGATGTCTCTGTCCACCACCTCTCCGTCGATGGCCATCAGCGTCCTCAGGTAGACGTCCACGCCGTGCGGGTTCAGGCCCACCAGGGACAGGACGTCGAAGAAGAACTCGGGCCACGCAGTCAGGTACTCCATGACGAAGGTGAGGGCGAACACCTGCGCCGCCTTGTTCCTGATGAACGTCTTCTCCGGCTGAGCGTTCATGAGCTGCAGCAGACCACAGACAGTCAGAGTCCGGACCGGTTCTGAGGTTCTCAAGAACCAAACGCTCGGTAAAGACAGAGATGAACGAGGAGCAGAACTTTACAAACAGGCTCGACCCGAACTCTGCACCTGCAGGATGAGCCGACCGGTTCTGACAAACAGACCCAGCATCAGTACCTGATCCATACCTGATCAGTACCTGATCCATACCTGATCCATACCTGATCAGTACCTGATCCATACCTGATCCATACCTGATCCATACCTGATCCACACCTGATCAGTACCTGATCCATACCTGATCCGTACCTGATCCACACCTGATCCATACCTGATCCGTACCTGATCAGTACCTGATCCGTACCTGATCCGTACCTGATCCATACCTGATCCGTACCTGATCCGTACCTGATCCATACCTGATCCATACCTGACAGACTGACATTACCTGACACTGCAGCCACTTCATCAGCGTCTCTCTGATGAGCTGCTGCTGAGCTGTACTCAGAGCTCCGTGCCTACAACGACAAACAACAACAAAGTCAACAACAACAAGCCGAGGCTGTACTCTGCAGTGACGAAGCTCCTCCCCCTCATCCTCACCTGAACTTCACCTGGTGCTCCAACACCTGGAAGCAGAAGAACTTGACGTGGTCGTCACTGAAACAGAAGAACACGAGCCGCTCAGAGCGCCCAACAGGAAACAGGAAACAGGAAGCAGGAAACAGGAAGCAGGAAGCTGGCCAAGGTGCGGAGGCTCACCTGTACATCTGGTTAGCGAGGGCGTTGGCACAAACCTCCCAGGCGTCCTGAGACTCCTTCAGCTGCTCGAAGTACGCCAAGGCCTGGAACACAGCGAGGAACGTCACAACGTTCTCCAACGTTCCACCTTGTCCATTTCTTCAGTCACACTCACTAAACAATGAGCTAAAAGCAGCTAAAGACTAGCTAAAAATCAAAGGTTAGCTAAAAGCAGCTAAAAATCAAAGGTTAGCTAAAAGCAGCTAAAGACTAGCTAAAAATCAAAGGTTAGCTAAAAGCAGCTAAAAATCAAAGGTTAGCTAAAAGCAGCTAAAGGCTAGCTAAAAATCAAAGGTTAGCTAAAAGCCGCTAAAGGCTAGCTAAAAATCAAAGTTTAGCTAAAAGCCGCTAAAAGCTAGCTTTAAGTAGTTTAAGGTTTGTAGCTAAAGTTTAGCTGACAAAGTATCAAAAGGCAGAGGCAGCAGCTAAAGCAGCTTTTAAAGAGAAGCTTTCAGAGCATGAATATATTTGTGTTTTTCTGCATGAAATTATTTGTAAATACATTTATTTAATTTCCTGAAGGAGCTGAAGGTTTTATTAATGAACAGCTAGCAGGAGGGTCCATCAGGGGGGTCCAGTCCTGGTTCTGCTGGGCCAGTGTCCTGCAGGTTTGACCCGTTCCCGGCTCCAACACACCTGGATCACAGCTTGAATCACCTCCAAGTTCTACAGAAACCCGTCGACCCGATTCAAGTCAGGTGAGCTGGAGCACAGAACACCTGAAACCTGCAGGGAGGAGCCCTCCAGAACCAGAACCAGGACTGGACACCCCCCGAGTTACACGGATATATAGTTCTGGGGCAGGCCCCGTGGTGCTGGCGGTTCTGGAGCGGCCCGGTTCTGAAGGAGTCTCACCCTGTGCCTGTGGGGAGCGTCAGCGTTCGGGTTCAGCCCCAGCAGCGCCTGCTCATCCATGACTGCAGCCATTCGTGGGTTAACTTTGATCCAAATCGGGTTCGGTTCTGGGTCCTGGTGTCGGACAGACGGGTCTCATCTGTTCAGAGGAAACGGGCCGAGTTAGAAACACGTCACAGAATCAGAACAAATAAACAAACAAACAAACAAACAGGTGTTCTCCAGGCTCTGGGCATATTCTCAACTCCAACCAAGTCCAGAACAAGAAACCCAACAGAACCAGGTCAGTTGACCTGGGACCAGGAAGTCACGGTTCGACTCCCAGCCATGCCAACATGTCCCAAACTGCTGCCCACTGCTCCACCTGGCTGTTTCTCAGGTGTGATGGCTTCAGTGCAGAAAAATGATGTCATCGTTGTACAGAATATACGATGATGTCATCGTTGTACAGAATATACGATGATGTCAGACTTCCCTTCCAACTGGACCTGTCACACACCTGGACTGCTCAAACACAGGTGAGTTCCCCTCAAACTGGTCATGCAGCTGGAAACATCTGCAGGAACTGAAACTCAAACCAGTGGTCGGTACCGGATCAGTGACCTGTAGGTTCTACTAGCAGGCCGGTACTTTGGGCGATGATGACACTTGGACAGGCTGTGGTTCTGATGGTATCTGTGGTTCTGATGGTCCTGTGGTTCTGATGGTTCTGGTGGTGCTGGTGGTCCTGTGGTGCTGATGGTCCTGTGGATCTGATGGTGCTGGTGGTTCCGATGGACCCGTGGTGCTGATGGTCCTGAGGTTCTGATGGCATCTGTGGTTCTGATGGTCCTATGGTGCTGATTGTTCTGGTGGTGCTGATAGTCCTGTAGTGCTGATGGTCCCGTGGTGCTGATGGTGCTGATAGTCCTGTGGTGCTGATGGTCCTGATGGTGCTGATGGTTCTGATGGTCCTGATGGTGCTGATAGTCCTGTAGTGCTGATGGTCCCGTGGTGCTGATGGTGCTGATGGTCCTGTGGTGCTGATGGTGCTGATGGTCCCGTGGTGCTGATGGTCCCGTGGTGCTGATGGTCCCGTGGTGCTGATGGTCCCGTGGTTCCGATGGTATCTGTGGTTCCGATGGTATCTGTGGATCTGATGGTTCTGATGGTCCCGTGGTGCTGATGGTCCTGTGGTTCCGATGGTTCTGATGGTCCTGTGGTTCTGATGGTCCTGTGGTTCTGAGGTTCTGATGGTACCGGTCCTCCAGGGCCTCATGGATCAAAGTGCGCTGTTGGACGCCATGTTGATGTTTCTGGAAGTCCACGCACGCAGGTCTTCGTGCACGAGGTCGCTGGACCGTGGCAGGTCCGGTCGGGCTGACTCGCTGCTTTCACCCACTGGTTCGGTACCGGAGATATGACCCGGTTCTGATGTTCTCCTTGGGTCGAACAGAACCAACAAAGCACTGAAAGCCACATGACGCAACACGGAGCCAACAGTCCAGGTGTTCCGTTACCGACACCACCACCGAACCGACACCGAACCTCCCCGGTCGGTCAGCGGGATCTGGGTCCTCTCTGACGGAACTCATGACCGGCCAACGCCTCACAAACCACCGGAACCGGAGGCTAACTGCTGCTAGCACGACCCGCCTTGGACCGGCGGGAGAGGCGGTACCATCACCGGGAGGGTCTCGAACCAGCGGCACGGGCTGGTATCGGTGGTTTTAAAGGGTTTAGCTCGGTTTAATTCGGTCTGGTACCGCTGGTGGCTCGGTCCGGTCCGCCAGAGGAAGCTAACTCTGCGACTAACAAACAAACAAACAAACAAACAAACAAACAGCTCACCGTAATAAAAACAACTCCGCTGCTTTCAGCCTCTTGAACTCATCACGGAACCACCGGGAGTCCTCCACGAACCGTCCGCATGTCGGGTCTCACGCGTGTCCGCACACGGTTTATATCCGGGGCACCGGGGCACCGGGGCCCGGCAACAGGCTCCGCTCGTTGTTAGTCAGCCGGTGACGACTCGAGTGAAGTGACGACGACCAGTGAAGAGAAACAGGAGTCCTGCCAGACATAGAGACGTGCATTTCAACTTTATTACTTTATAAACAGCTGAAAAATAAAATCTGCAACAAAGGTATAAAACAGGGCTGATGCAAACCCCGGAACAAATGAGCGCAAACCCCGGAACAATGTCAGCCGGGCAACAAATGGAGTGCAGCCAGTGGTGACGCACCCGCCGGGCGGAGACTGCGGCTGATCGTGAATAAATGTAATAAAGTCAATAAAACAATCTGCAATAAATGCAGCGGCTGCTGAGGTTTGTTTCAAAAGCTGAAAATGAGTTGTCAAAAGAAAACTAAAGCAAAGAAGTAAAATTAACTAAAAGCACCGACATTCAGCTAAAAAACTGGTTTAGCAACAAACCAAAAGAAGAAAGAAACTAAAAGCTAAAAACATCAAAACTGAAATTAACTCATCTTTAGCTTCACGCTAAAACAAAGCAGATCTGTAGCAATGAACTAAAACTTAACAAATCTGTTTCAGCTTCTTAAAGTCCAGTAAAGTTTTTAGCTCTCAGCTGTTTTTCTACGGTTAAATTATTTTAAACAACAGTGGTCACATTTTTTATCATTATTTTGCTTTAAATGTTATTTTACAACAAAAGGCAAAAATAAGGGACTAAAATTCATGCTTTAAAAATTATTCTCATGTGGCAAAACTGTTAAATGTTGATAAATTATAAAATCAACCGAGTTTATGAGTTTAGAACATTTAAGGACTAACTCCACTTTATAAAATGTTAAACGTATTTAAATTCAAATGTGGATTATGTGATGGTTTGTCGCTTAACTCGTTCTCCAATGTTTGTGTTTAATGTCTGTATGTTTTGTAAGGGCGGCATGCTGGTTCAGTCAGTACTGCTGCCTCTCAGCAAGAAGGTTGCTGGTTGGAATCCCGGCCGGGGCCTTTCTGGGTGCAGTTTGCATGTTCTCTCCGTGCTGCGTGGGTTTCCTCCAGTTTCCTCCCACAGACCAAAAACATGCATGTTAGACTGATGGTAACTCTAAAATGTCTCTAGGTGAGAGAGAGAGAGAGAGAGAGAGAGAGGTTGTTTGTCTCTGTGTCCCTGTGATGGACTGGAGACCTGTCCAGGTGTCCCTGTGATGG